AGGGGCGCGCGCTGGGCTTGCACCGTCGTGAGTTTTGTTTCGCCTTCCGAAACCACTGTGGTGGTGATGCGGAAGAGGGGGGGGAAAGGAAAAGGTCCGTGTCGTCGCCCTTATTGGGCTCTGTTCGGTCCCTCTTGGGGGACCTCTTTGGCCCGTTTGGATGCCGGTCTTGGACTTTGACCGCATTGACTTTGGCATTATTCCGGGGCCTTTTCGGGCCCCCTTCGCCCCGACCAGCCGAAGAGGCCCAGCCCAAATCCGACCGCGGGCGCGAATAGAGAAATGCTGGGTCATGTTTTCTTCCAAACCGACAATAGACTGCACTGTTTCCTTGCCACCTCTACACGGCATCCGAGCATGCCGCGTTGAGCTCAGCCCCGGACGAACCGTCCACGCTGGCGGTGGAAGAGAGGGTCGAGGGAAGGACGGTTGGGAGCGCCGCTCGTGCGCGATCGGTCGCCTGAAAGATCCCGAGGCAGAAGGCGGGTTCCAACGAGCCCCTGGACTTCGCCGCGACAATCTTTATGGGACCTTCCAAGCGTCGGGGGGGCGCCCGGAGAGGGAAGGCTGAAAAGGTCAGATTCAACGGCGCCGCGGCAATTGGAGAGCCCTGATAGCCGCTGGAAGCCCGGAGCTCCCGGAAGGCCCCGCGGCCCGCGCAGTCGGCGGGAGGTCTGCCCCTCTGGCCCGCCGAGCAGCGAGCTCGCGGGCGCGCGACAGCCTGGGGGGTCACGCGTCAAAGGCCAGAGTTGCGCCGCCGAAAACTCGCCAGCAGCGGCGTCACGGTGGCCGCCGAGCATATTGAGCGCCCGCGCCACGCCGGAGCCCCAGTCGGAGCGGTGTACCTTAGCCTCCGCGCGCTGCTGATCGGAGCGCGACAGAGAACCCTAGCCCCTGGCCCCCTTCTCGCCGAACGCGCTCAGGGACAGCCGGGGGGGGCACATCTCGCAGGGCCGCGACTCTATGGCGACCCTGGCGTGGGTCGCCGGCCCCATTGTGGGGTCGTCCTCGGGCCTTGGCTCATCGCGCGCTATTCTTGCGCGAGAAGTTGGGCCCCCCCGCGCAATCCCACCAGCCCTTTGGGCGTGAGTGGTTTAGGGAGCTCTCTCTGTCCTCAACCCCCCTTCTTCCCCTTCGGGGAGGGGTTTACCCCTCCCCCTACCCCCTCCCCCTGGACCTGGAGAGGGAGTTCCGCGGGTCGTCAGGGGGGTCTTTTTCGACGTCTGGGAGGGCCAAAAAACGACGACCCTCACGAGGATTCTGGCCCCGAGGGGGGGGGGGGGAGTTTGGTGCCTCAGCTCGTCTTTGAAGCAAAAATCATTGATTTTACTAGGTTTTGGCCCCATTTTGGGCTTCTGAGGGGGCAGCGCTCATCGTCCTTCATAGCAAAATCATTGATTTTACGAAGGTTTTGGGCTCATTTTGTCCTTCTCAGGGGGCAGCGCTCCTTTGCGCTTCTGAGGAGGTCGCAAGAGGCCCCAAGATGGCCCCAAGAGGCCCCCAGGAGAAGAGGCCCCAAGAAGGCCCCCAAGAGGCCCCAAGAGGCCCCCAAGAGGCCCCCAAGAGGCCCCCAAGAGGCCCCAAGAGGCCCCCAAGAGGCCCCCCAAGAGGCCCCCCCAAGAGGCCCCCAAGAGGCCCCCAAGAAGAGGCCCCCAAGAGGCCCCAAGAGGCTCCAAGAGGCCCCCAAGAGGCCCCACGAGGAGCCCGAACGACTCACACCAGGACGAGGGGCCCGAACGACTCACACCACGAAGAGCCCGAACGACTCACACCACAAGGAGGGGCCCGAACGACTCACACCAGGACGAGGCGCCCGAACGACTCACACCACGAGGAGCCCGAACGACTCACACCACGACGCGGGCCCCGAACGACTCACACCACGAGGAGCCCGAACGAGTCACACCAGGAGGAGGGGCCCGAACGACTCACACCAGGACGAGGGGCCCGAACAACTCACACCACGAGAAGCCCGAACGACTCACACCAGGACGAAGAGCCCGAACGACTCACACCACGAAGAGCCCGAACGACTCACACCAGGAAGAAGGGCCCGAACGACTCACACCAGGACGAGAAACCCCAAACGACTCAAACCACGAGGAGCGCTTTCTCTCCCTCCTCCTCCGCCTCGTCCTTTTCCCGCTCCCCCCACAATGAGGATGTACAAGGAGGCGGGAGGAAGGAAAAACAGGGGAGATATGGGGGGCCAAGCGGACACACGCCTGAAAAACACGACTGTCGGCATTCTTCGCAAGAGTTGCTGCTGTGAGATGGGCTGGCGGGGATACGCGAAGCGTAAAAGAATTCCCACTTGTTTGGCCGCCTCGGCGCGGAGACCGATTTTCATCGACATCCACTCCGCCGGTTCGGGGCAGATCATCACTTCTCCAGCCAAGCGGCGCGGGCCCGAGAAGTGGGCCGCCTCGTCGCGGCAGTACCCCTGTGCTTGCTCGCTCCCCTTGCTGTCGTTGTCCTTCTTCTCGCACTTGAGCTTCGCGACTTGGCGGCGCCGCGGGATGACCCCGAACCTCGCAAGATTCGGCAGGTATGCCAGGTCGCAGTCACCGAAGAATTGGAAGGACAGGACCCCATGCTCGTGGTCTTGAACTCCGAAGCCCGCGGGCGTGACCTTGAGCTGCGATGCCCATCGCCGATGGCGGCCCATTGGCCCTCCTCCTCGGCGGCCCACGAACTGCGCGCGTCGCCAAACTGTTCGCGGCCCTGGCGCGGGCCAGTCATTGAACTCAACGCGCCGTGCCATAGTCGCCGCATCGCGCCGTGGCCTCTGTCAGACGCCCTGCACATGGTCCTGCGCCCCCAGCGCAGGAGCGTCCGAGCTCTTCGCTGACGGGGCGCGGGCAGCCAAGTAATCCGCCGGCGTCTGGTTTGGCTTGAGCCGCTCAACGAAAATCAACTCCCGCGCGCCTTGAAGCAGCCGGGCCGCGGCGCCCGTCAGGCGCGGCCAGCGCCGTCGGCGATCAAAACCCCGCGAAGCTGGACACGTTAGACCCGGGCACCCAACGTCCATCGAAACCAATTTTTCCAGACGGCGGCACGAACAAATTACTGCACTGCAACACTTCCAAGATAAACCTGAAGACGGGCCTTCGAAGCCAGCGGCCCCCCCAAAACCTGGGCGCAAACCCGAATCCACCGCAGTAAACAAAATACCGGTGGGTGCTGGAAAATGCGAATTTGCAGGATCGGATGTCGCTTCCTTGCTCTATCTATGTCCTGGTCTCAAGGGGCCTGAAACGTCATCGTCACCTCGTCGCCGGCCGCGATCCCCAGGCAAGAATCGGGGGCCGCTGCCACCCAGCGACGTTCGGGCACTCCCGAGAAGGGAAAACGGGAAGGATGGGAAGGGGCGGAGGAGGAGGACGAGGAGGAGGGGCAGCAGGGAGAGCAGGGTGAGGAGGGAGGGGGAGGAGGATGAGGACGAGGACGAGGACGAGGATGCGGACGATGATGAGGACGTTGAGGATGATGATGATGATGATGATGACGATGATGACAGTGATGACGCTGATGATGATGCTGATGATGATGATGATGATGATGATGATGATGATGATGACGATGACAGCGCCGGCCTGCGCGCTCGCTCCCCCGCGGGGCCCTGGTGCCACGCGCCTTTTCGTCCGGCCCGCGCGGCAGCAGCGGCGGCGGGGGCGGCCCGTCTGGTTCGCGCCGGCCGCCAGGTACGCCATAAGCCCCGCCCCCAACGCCCATGCCAGGTGGCGAAACCGCCGGCCGCCGCGACGCCACTCCTCCGCCTCGGCGACGCCCTCCGGCCGGCACGCCAGCCACTCCAGCTGCCGCCCGCGCGGGAACGCGGCGAATGCGTAGGTCTCGTCGTCGCCGACGACAGGCGGAAGCCGCCCTGGCGCTGACTCCCGCGTCACCGCTTCGATGTCGGTGTTCCTGGAAGGCTGGAAGTCCTCTATGTACGCGTCGCCGTCCAGGGCCAGTAAGCCGAACTCCCCCTGATAGGATCGCAAGCGCCCCCGAATCAACTTCTGATGTCAGACCCTTCGTCCCGGGACGTCGTACCTCACCAACGCAACGTCCTTTTCCACCAAACTCGACATGGTCGGGCTGAGGGCGCTCTCGTGTCACAGAAATAACGGAATTATTCACCAAGACCCCCGCGAGCCAGACTGCTCCCACGAACCCTGCATCTACCACCGAACCCAGCACGAAAGGGATCCAACATAGACACTCGATGGTCGAGTTCTCTCCGTCGGCGTCGCACGGAAGACAGGCAAGGGCCTGCGGACACTGGGTGGCGTGGCACGCACGACACTGAATATGAGAACGCCAGGCGCAGCAGCCAACCGTACGCCGCCTGCGGGGCACCCTGCGGCGCCGTCAACACCAAATCCAATGTTACCCGCCGCTCGCTGGAGGCGCGCTCAGAGCCTTGAGCCCGAACAGTTTAGGAGGAGCGAATGAATGATCACCGGGGAACGTATTCACTCTCGGCCTTCCAGACAAAAGCACTGCTCAAACCTAGCACGGTACCAAGGTGATCGACCATCATGTACAGTATATATATATATATGTGTGTAGATATACACATAAAGACACGCACACATACACACACACACACACTTTGTCGCACAATCATACGTACATGCACAGATGCATGCATACACGCATGGTCCGATGCTGTGTCTGCTCATGCAATTTCCGACATTCGGTTTTACGAATGCCCACTCGCCCCCTGTCTGCTCGAATGCCTGGTCCGACATTTTCCCCTTCAAGACAAATCGCTTGGGCATGGTTTCTGGATAGCCTGGTGGAAGTACGCGAAACTCAAACCAAATATTTCTAATCCGCCAGGGGCCCTCAATAAAGAACGGGGGCGCTGCTTCCCCAGCTGCAGAAGCTGTTGTTCTGCTGGGGCTGCTCGGGAGAAAAAAAACAGAGAGGCACTGCATCCTGCAAGATACAATGTGGTCCTTCTTGCAATATCTTGAGTGTGCGGAGCGGGCCTCTGTTGCAGAGCGGGCCTCCGACTGATGGGACCGAAGTTGATGGACGTGCCCGCGATCGGCAGGCCGTCGACGCACGCTGTCACGAGGTGACTGCGTCAGCCCCTGCATGGCGGTGGGAGAAAAAAAGGGAGGACGAAGCGGAGAGGGAGGACGAGTGCCAGAGAGGGGACATGCAAAAAAGGGGGAATAACCATCCGAGGGCCCAGGATGTCCCAAGGAATCTCCGCGAGTCTCCCTCCGGGGACCCCCAGGAGTCTCTGAAGGCTTCGGGAAGCCCAACGGTGGCCAAACGTTCCCAGAAGCCCCCCGCAGGGAACGAAGGGGGAGGAGGAGGAGGAGGAGGAGGAGGAGGAGGAGGAGGAGGAGGGAACAGCTGCATAACAGCATCCGAGCCGAATACTGGCTTGAAGACAAAGAGGCAGCCGCCTAAGAGAGGGGATCAGGGCCCCCTAGGCGGAGCCACTCGATCAGCAGAGGCCGAACCCAAACAACAGGTCCACGGCGATATGCCTCAGCAAGAGCCCGAGGCAGGCCGCAGCATTCCTATTATCGAGGCCTGCGACCAACGAGCACCTGGTTCAAGCGCCACGGATGGACAGAACCCCCCGCCCGATGGGGGCTTCAATGAATCAGCGCGTACGCCATTCAAGGGGCCCAGGGACACACAAATAAATACACACACAAATAACAGGATTCCCCATATGTTCCTATCGTTTCTTTGTTTTTGTCTTTCCCCCCCACTTCCCATATGTTCCAAAATTGTCTGGTGAATCGACGAATAATTGTCTGTGTGTTTTTTCCCCTCCTGACACCTCTTCTGCTGAGGTACTGGCCAACAGGCTGGACAGCGTGGCCTTCGTGCCCAAACCATTCGCGGACCTGCGCCTGCCCGACACCGTCCTAACCGATACGCAGAGCTTCGGCGGGCACGCTGGACGGCACCACGTGGCCCCCTGGGGAGGACGCTCTTGAAGGGGCCTTGGGACACACAAATAAATACACACAAATATCAGGATTCCCCCTATTTTCAAATATTTTCTGGGTTTTTGTCTTCCCCCCCACTTCCCATATTTTCCAATATTGTCTGGGTAGTCGACGATTAATTGTGTCTGTGTGTTGTTTCCCCTCCTGAGCTTTTGCGCCGCTCCGCACGCGTACGAAAGAAAACACTAGAGGTGGAACTGGGTTGGCTGGTGCTTCGTGCCAGGCTGCTCGAAAAACTCAGGTCGGGCGAACGGGGGTGATAGCAAAGGGGGGGGGGGTGAGAATCAGCTCGCGTAGCTGATTTTCCCGGCGCCTCCCGGCGCCGGAGGCGGCTATGTATCGAGGAATGGGCCCCTCGGTGGGGCCGAAACCAGCTGCATGCAGCAAATTTCGTACCCCCCCCTTTCCCAATCCCCCCCTTTCGTTCGGCCCGAACTTCGCACGCGGCGAAGCCGTCTTGGCAGTGGCACCACGTTCACCCCACACCGCCTCCCACCATCTCCAGATCATGAGAAAGCAAAGCGAACTGAGGCGGCGCAACTTCCTTTCGACTCGGAGTCTGCCTGGGGCCTTCAGCCTTATTCGCAACAAGCGAGGCGGCTCTAGGTTTGACACCCTAACATGGGCATTTCAAAACACCTTGTGACTACCAGCGCCGGGTTTCGCAAACAGGTCGGCCAGCATGTTGCTGGAGAAGTCGATGGCCGTGGACGCTTCTCGATCCGAGCTCGAAAGATCCAGATCAGAGCGTGGAGTCGGAGTCTCCGTGCGCAGGATGTCCGCCTAAACGAGGGGCGTTCAACAGAAAACAGCAACAACACTATGATCTTAGATGTCCCTATACGCAACACGCAAGCCGCAACGTGGTGACACGGAGTTCAACACGTATATGGAAAACGAAAACCTGGCGCGCTACGTTCGCCAAAACGTGGACCAACACGCAGCGCGTCGATACGGCGGCAACTGAGACTCTGGCACAACGTAAATACTTCTCCCCGCGCGCCAGCGAAACGGCTGTGCCCGCCAACAAGGCGGCGAAAACCGCCCGCTGCCTCCCTTGACCGCGGGCGAATGTTCAGCAGGGGCTGACCATCCCGCCACTGCTATAGGCCTACCACGGAATGTTCTTATAACGAAAACATGCAGAATAGTAATGACAATGTTCGTATGACATAAGCCCGATGTGTTAAAACAAAACAGGCTGAGCCAGAAATGTTCTAAGAACCTTTCGTGCAAACCACACGAGGTTCTTAGAACATTGTTTGGTGGGCCTATAGGCGAGCCAAGACGCTTCGCAATTGCTTGAAAACGGTCGCTCGCAATCTCTATCCCAGGAGGCCCGTTTTTTGCAGCCCACAGGATGGCCTGACGCTCGGCCCCTGGCGCCGTCTGGCACCTGCCCGCAAGTGGCCCGTGGATCGCGCGCAAGGGCCAGCCCGAAGACAAATTTCGACAGCCCATCGCCCGCGTCGGCTCGCCTCGGGAACGCCGCCGGCGAACCCTGGCCCGCCCGCAAAGTTGAAAATCCCCACGGCGTCGCGCCGCGCCTCGGGAGAAAACTCAAAACGTGGCCGGGACAGGGCGGGCCCTGGACAGGAATGGAGGGGCCCCGCGCGCCAGCTCCAGCGCATCAGAGTTGGCGCGGGGGGGCTCGAGCCTCGTCGATCAGCCTCCCCCGTGTTTGAGACGGCCGTCAGGAATCGCGCGGCTCTCGCGGTCCTCGGGCCCCTCCCAGATCTTGGCGCAGCCGTGTCGCTGGTGGGCTAAGGGCCCCCATCGACCACTTTACGCCACTCGCGCACATCACCATCGCTGTGCATGCGCTGAAATTCGCGATGGCGGCTGACGCCCATCTCCAAACAGGGCCCTCGGCGCGCCCTGGCGGGCTGCGCCTTCGCCCGAGAGAACGCCGACCCATCCGGCGCGTCCCAAGGCAGACTCAGCTCCAGAGGCCTCGGGGTTCCCCGCCCTATTTCGGGCGGCCTGAGCCTGGGCGCGGGCATCGAGCGGGCTGGCGTCGCCCCGCGGCTGGCGGCGGCGCGCGAACCCCCGTCTGACTCGAGGAGCCGACGCGCGCGCGATGCGCTGACAGGTCCGCCGACTTCACTGGGCGGCTTGCGCGAGGAATCTCCGGCCTGCGCCCAAGCCGCAGTCAGAACTGAGTCGGGGGCGCGCGCGTCCCGGGCCCAGCAGTTACATCTAACGAGAGGCGAAGCAGTGGCATCATGCATGGGCTTGAGAACGGGACCCTCATGGGCGAACAAATTAAGCGCCGCGCAGCGCGATTCTTTCGCTCCCTCGAGGCCCCCAGCAAGGGCGCAGAATATCCGGTGCGCGCAGTGTAGCCCCCGCTGGGCGCCGCCCCTGCCCTCCAGATCGAAGCCGCTTTCGCCCTGCTTGCCTCCCGGGGAATCTGGGCCCCAGGCTCGCGGGCAACTGGCGCGGCCCCGCGCTGGGGCCCCGTGGCCCTGACGGCCCTTTCGGCCGTGCAAGTCGTGGCCCAGGTTGCGCATGCGCTTCCTGCCTGGGAAAACGAGCTCGGCTCAAAATTCAAGATCGCCGCTCGAATCATTCTGCCCCGAGCAGCTAACTAGAAACCGCAGGGGCTCTGCGCGAATGTCTCTCATGCGGCCCCGACGCATCGACCCTGCGCGGAGGCCATCTAGGTCTAGGTCGCCATCCAACTCGAGCGACATGCCTCAGCATGAACAGAAATAACCTCCGAACGCCAGGTCATATCGTAGCACGTTATCATGTCATATAGAATCGCGACAGAAGTGCCAACCGGATCAACTGAAACGCAGCATCGCTCGAGCCCGCCCCCCCCCACCCCCCCTCCCAGCCCGGGAAAAATCCCCGCCCGATCCGCCCCCGCGGCCCCAAAATGGCGCGCGTGGCAGCGACCAGTCTATGACCGCCCCCATCTAGCTCGGCGAGTCGCGCTGGCAGGCCAGCTCGCTGGCCCGCGCAAAGAGCCAGCAACGCGGCCTTCCGCGCTGCAGGGAGAGCGCCGCTAACGCCCCGAGCGCGTCGTCAGACCGACGCTGCAGCGACCGAGGGCGCAACGCTGAACATCCAGTAGCCGTCGCGGCCGGAAGCTCGGCAACGGCGCATCTGGAACCGTCGGCGAGACTTTCGGGGAGGGGCCCCCAAGGCGCGGCGTCGCGGGGGGCTTCGGGCCCCACGCGCCAACGGGCGGTCCAGATGCGGGCCCCTTCCCTGCGACAGTCGTCTGCTGAAAAGGCCGCGCTGGGCAGTCCTCGGCTCGAACTCCCTGAAGAACCTGGGCCCTGAAAGAACGACGGCCCCCCTCGGCACTTCCGAAAAAATGTCCGTGGACCTGGGTCTTCCAAGCAGCTTCTTTGCTCGCCGCAAACTCGGCCTGCGACCCCTGGGCGCGCTCCCAAATGCGATTGCCCAAATCCGCAGGTAATCAAAAACGACCCCGACCACCGAATTGCCTGGCCAGGAAATGCAATGGCAATCAGGTCGCTGGGGTGCCCGAGCGCCCACTCGAGCGTCATGTTCTGGTGGCAAATTGCCGACGTTGCGCAAAACCTGGGCCGCCCTGCGCGTCATCCTAGATTCCTCCTCGGACTCCTCGGACAACCTCGGAACGCGCGGCGACGGCGCCGCGTAGACCCTGCGAAGATGCCGAGCACGCCTCGCTGCACTGGTCCATAGTCAATATCAAAATGTCCACGAGTAGGGGGCAGCGAGAGAGAGAGAGAGAGAGAGAATGAGAGAATGAGAGAGAATGAGAGAGAAAACAAAAGAGAGAGAAAGAAAGAGAAAGAGAGGGAGGGAGGGGGAGGGAAAGAGAGAGAGAGAGAGAAAGAACACAACAAAGAACACGCAATATACATATATAAGCCAAGACACAAACAAACAACAAGGAACAACGGGACACGGGAGACGGGAAAGGGCAGAGGCCGCTGATCCCCAGCAGCGTGGCTGGCTTCACCTTCCGCAGGAGGGCGCCGAAGTGCCTCGCGCGCGGGCATCGACGCTGTCGCGCCCGCCGTCGGACGCGGCGGGTGGCTGCGACCGAAGGCGGGGGGGGCGCGCTCGACGCAGGGGGGGGGGCAGACTCCATGCCCCGCAGGGGGTGGCGCTTG